ACATATGTGATTAGTTTTGGGTAAAAATCCATGAATATAATTAACCTAATTTGCATAGTTAGCCAATTTTCAGTTTTTATGCTGATATCACATGTACTAATTATTGCATTTCAATGAAATTTGGTACATTGATGTTCCAGAACAATGCACAGACCCGCTCAGTTTTGGGTTGAAATCAGGTCATATTAATTACCTAATTTTCATAATAAATCATAAATTTTGGTTCCAATCACATTACAATGAAACTTCGTACATAGATGGTGTGTAACAGTAGTTAACTTAATTCAATGAATCTTGGTACATATGTACTTTAACATAATGTACTGATCAAATTAGTTTTAGGTTTATTTAAATCTATAATAATTACCTAATTTGCATAATAATTTACTTTTCAGCTTTCCACTAATTTAGTTAGAATTAATTATCACATTATAATGAAACTTTGTACATGTGCACCCTGAAACAATATACAGACCTAAATCTATGCATAATAATTGCTTAATTTGTATAATAATTCATTTGGTTCATTGAAGTAATTCACAGACATGAATAGATTAATGTTGATAAACATGCATATTGATTATCTATTAGCCCATTTTTGATTTCTAAAAAAAGCAGAATTGAATTCATCACAGAGGTGCTCTGGAACTAATTAGACTAAAAACCATGGATGAAAAATCAAATGTATTTTCTGTATGTATTATAAATTTTGATAATGTGAATCACATTTTTTTCATGTTATGCATCTCAAATAGCAGACAAAAATTAGTTGCCAAGCTTCTTGTTGAAAAGCAAATCTTAAATTTTGAATTAATTTTAATGTGTCTCCAATATTCTCAGCACACGAGAGTTCTTTCTAAGCTTTCTTTGATTTAAAGTTTATGCGTCCATTTGATATGCTCATAACTACCTCAGGAGGGTGTTGTTGTAAAGTTCATTGACCCTGCTGACAATCCCTATCATGAGAGCATATACATGTGTTTTTACTTTAGTTATCAGTAAACTATGAATTATTATCATATATATTCATTCAGTTTTTGATCTGCCATTTTGTTTTTAACACAACAGAATGGAGGTTGTGTTCCCGGTATGTTGGTTTGCAACTTGTAAATTATCGTACAGGTGAAAAATAGGAATTAATATTTTGTACATTTAGATCTGTTTGTTTGATGAGCTTGTCAACTCTTTTACATGTAATAAACTGAAAATGTGAATTTATTTATTTTTGACATTTTCTAGGTTGAGAAGATTTTGTTGTGTTTTGCTCAAGCATTTCGTCGCGTTCCTAGAAGTCCATCTTCTATTTACACACCGCCTCCGACTCCAACTAAAGACCTGAGTAATCTGTTCACATTTGATGTGGGCTTGGATATCAAGGAAGATGTGGACGGCAAAGGCGGCTATAATCATGTACCCAAAGAAAAGAACTGTTTTAAACTGCGGCAAGACTATGTAAAGAAAGTTATTGTTACTGTTCAACAAACATCAAATATGGAACTAGTCATAGAAAGGTTGGTAACACATCCTTCTATGCTTCTGTTTACTCGAATTGTGTGTGGTTGGCTGGATACTCAGTGGATTACAATATTTACATTACCGTATTGAGGGACACCAAAATAGATTACAATATTTACATTACCGTATTGAGGGACACCAAGATAGATTACAATACTTTATTACAGTATTCAAGAATACCAAGACAGATTACAATACTTTATTACAGTTTTCAGGAATACCGAAACAGATTACAATACTTCATCACAGTATTCAGGAATACCAAGATAGATGACAATACTTCATTACAGTATTCAGAATACCAAGACCGATTACAACACTTACATCAAAGTATTCAGGAATACAAAGATAGATTACAATACTTACATCACAGTATTCAGGAATACCAAGACAGATTACAATACTTACATCACAGTATTCAGGAATACCAAGACAGATTACAATACTTACATCACAGTATTCAGGAATACCAAGACAGATTACAATACTTACATCACAGTATTCAGGAGTACAAAGATAGATTACAATACTTACATCACAGTATTCATGAATACCAAGACAGATTACAATACTTCATTACAGTATTCAGAAATATCAAGGCAGATTACAATACTTACATCACAGTATTCAGGAATACCAAGACAGAATACAATACTTACATCACAGTATTCAGGAATACCAAGACAGATTACAATACTTACATCACAGTATTCAGGAATACCAAGACAGATTACAATACTTACATCACAGTATTCAGGAGTACAAAGATAGATTACAATACTTACATCACAGTATTCATGAATACCAAGACAGATTACAATACTTCATTACAGTATTCAGGAATATCAAGATAGATGACAATACTTCATTACAGTATTCAGGAATACCAAGACAGATTACAATACTTCATTACAGTATTCAGGAACACCAAGACAGAATACAATACTTACATCACAGTATTCAGGAATGTGAATACAGATTACAATACTTCATTACAGTATTCAGGAATACGAAGACAGATTACAGTACTCACATTACAGTATTCATGAATACGAAGACAGATTACAATACTTACATCACATTATTCAGGAATACCAAGATAGATTGCAATAGTTACATCACAGTATTCAGGAATACCAAGACAGATTACAATACTTACATCACAGTATTCAGGAATACCAAGATAGAATACAATACTTACATCACAGTATTCAGGAATACCAAGACAGATTACAATATTTACACCACAGTATTCAGGAATACCAAGACAGATTACAATACTTACATCACAGTATTCAGGAATACCAAGATAGATTACAATAGTTACACAACAGTATTCAGGAATACCAAGACAGATTACAATACTTACATCACAGTATTCAGGAATACCAAGATAGATTACAATACTTACAGCACATTATTCAGGAATACCAAGAAAGATTTCAATACTTACATCACAGTATTCAGGAATACCAAGACAGATTTCAATACTTACATTACAGTATTCATGAATACAAAGACAGATTTCAATACTGACATTACAGTATTCATGAATACAAAGACAGATTTTAATACTGACATTACAGTATTCAGAAGTCTTACCAAGCAAATTGATAAACATGTACATTTCCTATTTGGGCAATGTATTACTAAGCTAATTGTGACAAACTATATGTGTTTCAGATGTTTTGGTTTGCTCTTAGCACCTGGACGTAATGTGAAGCATGCTGACATGCACCTACTTGATATGGTAACTATGATTTCACCATACTATTCAACCCTCTCCACGTTCTTTCAAAAGAGGTCTTAAATCAAATCTGAGCAAATTATACAATATTCATATATGCAACAGACTCTGTGAGTCATTAGAAGCATGTCCATGACATTTCTCACAAAAAAAAACAACACAATTATAATTTTAAAATCTCAGACGAGTGACTTCCCATTTAGTTGCCATATAGTCACAAGTCTATAGAGTCTATTTGAACATAATAAGTATGCCCAGAAAGTTGGTATTAAAATCAGTTTAGGATCTAAAAAATAAAAACATTTGTAATATACGTTATGAGCTAGAATATCGAATGCAGTTAACAGATTAGCATAAAATTACATATTTGTTAGCTCCGCTGTCAACTTAGTCAAGCAGAGCTTATCATATGAGTGATTGTCAAGCGTGTCAACTTTTTACTTTTTTGAAAACTACAAGCCTGAATGCCTTGATACTTAGTATGTATGTACCTTGGGTAGACCTCTTTTAGATTTGTTAATTTAGTGATGATATTCTTAATTCTCTAATACTGGTGAATATTTTTGTCATTTTTGGTAAAAAGTGATATTTTCGACTTCTTGTTAAAAACTGCAAGCCGATTGTTTTGATATTACATATATAGGTACTAATGTGGACCTCTATCAGATTTGTTCATTTTGTAATGATATCTTTGATTCTCTAATTTTGATGAATATTTTTGTCAATTTTGGTAAAGTGATACTTTTCGAATTTTTGTTGAAAACAGCAAGTCCCATTGCATTGATACTATGTATATTGTTCATTTTCTAATGATATCTTCAGTTCTTTAATTGAAATGTGCATTGCTATCAGTGAAGCTATTTCAGCCGACAGGCTGCTTGTTATTGTTCATAAAACAGAATACAATAAAAACAGCTATATCTATTTCATATTGGAATGTACAGGGTTTAAACAAAGACAAAATACAGGATAAACACTTTATCAATCATCTTACAGACAATGATATCATTAGTTTAGGGAAAACATGGTTAACCAATGAAAATAAAAACGTTAACATTGACAAATACTGGGACCATTCAATAGTACGTAAAAAGCAAAAACGGGGCGGGCTGACAATTCTAATTCGTAATTCAATAAGGAGTGGTATACAAATAATTGATACTGAGCACGAAGATATGATTTGGTGTAAATTACAAAAACGTTTTTTCAATATGCTCACAGATGTATACATATGTTTTGTATACAATCCACCAGAAAATTCCAACACCAACTCAGACACATTTTTTGAACGGTCAGAAAAAATAATTAATGAGATGGGTTCAAAAGATTCTATTTTAATAATGGGAGATATAAATGCAAGAACTGCTTTACTCCATGATTTCATTCAAAGTGACAGTTCAAGACATGTACCACTACCTCAAAATTATATGATAGATACTAATTTGAACCGCTGTAACATAGATAAAAACAAAAACAGCTATGGAAAACTATTATTAAAACCAATCCCAATAAAAATATTCACAAAAACAAACAAAAAAAGAATCCCTGATGGTTTGATAAACAATGCAACCAGAGTAAACGTGATTTAATGGCTTGTGCAAAGTTGATAAATAAATTTCCATTTGATATGAAACTAAGACAAACTTTTTATTCTAAAAAGAAAAGATTTAAGAAACTTATAAAACAAAAGAAAAACAAAATCCAAGAAAATTATCTTAATAAACTCAGAACTCTTCAACAAGGAAATTCAAAAGAATTTTGTAAAATTATTAAACATATGAAAAATACAGATCAAAATAGTGATAATCCAATTTCAGCAACTAAATGGATGGAATATTATGCAACACTAAACAATAAAAAAGATGATAATAGTTTCCAGGAAAATATAATGAAAGAATTATCAGAGCATGAAGAGAAAATGAGAGTAAATGATCACTTAGATAAGGTTAGTGGAGCACTGAAAATGCTAAAATCCAAAAAAGCGCCAGGCTTGGATGGTTTCTGTTTAGAACTATTAAAATACAGCTCAAACTATTTAATTAATTCACTTACCAAATTGTTTAACTTAGTTTTGAGTAGCTCAGTTTTCCCAGATATTTGGAATTTAAGTTGCATTACTCATCTTTATAAAAAAGGAAACAAATTAGACCTTCAAAATTACAGGGGAATATCAGTTCAAGTTGTATTGGCAACGTCTTCTGTTCCATTATAAATAAATGCATAAACTGTTTCATTGAAGAAAATAAAATACTCAAAAACAACCAGGCCGGCTTCAGAAAAAAACACAGAACAACTGATCAAATGTTTGTATTAAAAACTCTAATTCAAAAACACATTAAAAATAAACAAAAACTGTTTGTTTTGTAGATTTTGCCAAAGCATTCGTAGGAGAGTAGGGCTATTTTATAAACTATTAAAAAATAACATTAATGGCAAGATTTACAAAATAATAAAAAACATGTATTCAAAAACAAAAGCTTGCATTAATATAAATAATTATATAACCAAAGAATTCACTATTAATAGAGGAGTAAAACAGGGATGTATAATTAGCCCAACTCTTTTCAACATTTTTAGTCCCCATTCGGACGCAGTCCGAAAACGGGGACTTATGTTTTGACCTCCGTGTGTCCGTGTGTGCGTCTGTGCGTGCGTCCGGACCTGTATCTTAGAAATGCCTGGACCAATCACAATCAAACTTCACACATACATCATACATGATATTATACATATGCACGTCAATTTGTTTCACGATCTGATTCAAGATGGCTGAATGGCGGCCATTTTTGTGCTCAAAATCATCAAAATCAAGCATTTCTCGGCTGTTTACAGATGGATTTTGTTCAAACTTGGTATATACATTAGATATTATAGGACCTTGATGCACATCATATTGTTTTACGATCTGATTCAAGATGGCCGAATGGCGGCCATTTTTGTGCTAAAAAATCTTAAAAATCAAGTAAAAAATCTTAAAAATCAAGCACTTCTCAGCTGTTTACAGATGGATTTTGTTCAAACTTGGTATTTACACTAGACATTATGGGACCTTGATGCAAATAATTTTGTTTTTCAGATAAGTTTCAAAATGGCCAACTGGCGGCCATTTTGTATTATTGAATGGTTCTCGTGCCATATGTCTGACTTGCTTTCCCTGATCAGTGTTCTCCCCAGGAATTTAAACCACTGTGGCGGACAAATTTGCATATGATTTGCATATCATTTACATAATAATAGAGATTGACCAAAGCACATTTACACCGACATAACAAACAACATATATTTTCAAAAACAATGTTTCACATATTTATTTGCTTCATACAGTGTTATAAACACTATTCTTTTGGATTATTAATGAGCTCAGTCACAGTGCAAATATTTTTTCTATTGGAGTCAAAATATTACGTTTCACAATTTAGAAGAGTTTGAATTTAAAAATGAAAAATTGTCAAATCGAAATGGAAATGCTGCAGACTATTAAAAACAAACAAACAAATAAATTGTAAAAGGCTAAATGAAACGCATTTGAAACGTTTCAGCCAGGAATATGTTCTCGAATTCCATGATCATCAAAGTTACGACGTGACTTCGCGATGTTATACACCGGTTATACCAATAATTCCTCTTACTCAGTCATGCCATGAAAAAATGTTACTTATTTTTTTTATATGAAATAAACGTAAAATTTGAGCGATTATTTGTTATCACTCGATCGTTTTGGTGAAAAACAAAGACCGCCATGATAATTGTGACGTATTAGTTGACCGGCATGTGTCCTCTAACCCGATGGGTCAAAAATGCCATTAACCAATCAGAATACCGCATGGTAATGCCGGCAGAACCTGAAGTTTTCCGAATGGTAGTGATCCTAAAAATTACATTGCGGAAGTAAAGCGATGTCGTAGCATGATGTGTTGGTATGGATTTCAGATGAAAACTGCATGATGGTTTTCGAAATAGGTGATACGCAATTTTTAAAAGGTAAAAGAAGTCTTGAAAGAAGAGTTTTTACATGATTCGCGATGATAAAAGTTCAAATGTATTTTACCCAGTCACGCAATAAACACATTGTTTTTTTCTTGAGTAGCGTAAACAGATCGTGAACTCCGCTTTGCCCATGTAATATATCGGGGTGGAATTGATTTTGAAAAAATGTTAGCTTTAAATCTAAAGACTGCGTCGATTGTTAAAGTATTTACTTACGAACAAAGAGGTTGCTAATTTTACAAAATTAACTTGTATTGTTTATAAGCCACTACCACATCGTGCGACTACGTCTATTGTTTACAAATTATAATCCACGACTGGCAGGATGCGTGTCGGTCGGTACGTCGGACAATAGTCCTGGTCGGAAGCGTGGCAAGATCCCTGATAGCAACGTATTTCTTTCTATATTTCGTAATACAGTTCACAGGATGAACAATCAATAGCACTGTGGCGGTCTTACTAATCACCGTGGCGGCTCGAGACCACAGTGGCGGGCAGGAAAAGCAGCGTGGCGGCCCCGCACACAAATTGAATGCCGGGGAGAACACTGCTGATTATGTTCAAATTTTAAATATTCATTATATATCATGTCATAGATAGACAGATATATTCAAAATGGCCAAATGGTGGCCTTTTTTGTGCAAAACAATCATCAAATATCAAGCATTTCTGGCATTTATGGATGGATTTCGTTCAAACTTGGTACATATATTAGACATTACAGGTTCCTGATGCACATTATTTATTTTTCAGATCGGATTCAAAATGGCTGTCTGGCTGCCCTTTTTATTTTAATGAGTGGGCTTCTAGACCCATATCTCCGACTTGTTTTGACTGATAATATTTTCAAATTTTAAATATTCATTATACATCATGCCATAGATAAACGGATATATTGGTTTGACTATCCTATTCAAAATGGCCGAATGGTGGTCATTTTTGTACTAAAAAATCATCAAATATCAAGCATTTATGTGGATTTCGTTCAAACTTTTTATTTTTCAGATTGGATTCAAAATGGCTGACTGGTGGCCATTTTGTTTTAATGATTGGGCTTCTAGAGCCATATCTCTTAAATGCTTTGACTTATATTTAAGTTTTATGTATTCATTATACATCATGTTATATATATACATGTATTCAAAATGGCTGATTTTGAATGCTGTTCCAGAGCAATACAAATGCAAATGTCAATCATTTTAATGTTAAAAAATCCTATTTCTGACATGGTTATATTCCAGCTATATTACTATAAACAAAACTATATATCTTAAATTTGATAATTAGTCCCCGTTCGGACGCAGTCCGAAAACGGGGACTTATGTTTTGCCCTGTGTGCGTCCGTCCGTGCGTCCGTGATCACCTGTATCTCGAACATGCATGGACCGATTAAGTTCAAACTTCACTCATACATCACACATTATATGGGACATATGCACATGCATTTTTTTCATGATCCGATTAACGATAGCCGAATAGCGGCCATTTTAAGGCCGAAAATGCATCAAAATCGCACATTTTCACCATTCCGGACCCGGATTCAGTTATGCATGGACGGATTTTGTTCAAATTTGGTCATACATTAAACATAATAGGACCTTGATGCACGTCATTTTTTTTTTTGGATCGGGTTCGAAATGGCCGACTGGCGGCCATTTTGTTTTAAAGAATTCAGTTCTGGATCCGTATCTGAGACATGCTTGGATTGATCGAGTTCAAACTTCACACACACAAGGTACATCATGTCACAAATATGTATGTGCATTTGTTTCATGATCTCATTAACGATAGTGATGAAC